ACCGGCGTCGAAATGTTGCTCCACAGCGGCGAAGTTAACAAAATCGCCAGCAGCATCCTTCGGCGCCTGTGGCACCTGCGGCGAAAGTGGCGACAGCAGCGCCTGCAGCACCTATGGCACCACACGCGCCTGACGCTGAGCACACGCCAGCACCTGTGGCTGGACTGTCGCGTCAGCGCCAGATGCGCAGGACTGCGTCAACTTCTGACACGACGACTGAGCTCCCCAGCGTTGACTCCGGCGCTGACTGTGACCAAGTCCAGGCGCTTTTGGCGTTGTTACAGCAGTAGTCGCCCGCGGTTACGGCTGCAGCAACTACAATTTCTGCATCTGCTAAAAACTGCAAGAATCGACTCGGCACGTCACGCTCGCACTCCCGAAGTCCCTCGTGCCGAAAGGGAACACGTTGCTGCTGCGGCGCCTAACAATGTCAACGACAACAGCGACTCTGAAGACGAAGCGGGTGAGGCTAATGCACTCACCACTTTTATTGCACCCACTGAGCATCTTCCTCCACTCCCATCCACCAACCCCACCAGTCTGGCTTCCTCATTTCACCACGCCGGGGTACGCGAGCAAGCCGAATTTCTGGAGGACCTGCGCGCGTACCTGAAGCACTCGGAGCACAAGATACGCCACTGCGACACCGCTGGTGCTTTCAAGTCGACGAGGGGTACGCACTCATCGCCGATCGCTTCCAACTCCTTCAAGTCGCCGACGCCTCCGACTTCAAGACGGCGCACTGCTTCAAGCTCTACCAGCAGAAAAGCATGCTGACGTCGCGCCCCTTCAAGCAGGCGGTCGCGGACATGGCAGCGATGAAGCGTGCGCAAGGCTCCTATGGTCACAGCTCTCCCCTTGGAGGACGAGGCATGGGGTTTGGCGGCAAATTCGGCACGGCCCCCGGCTGCGATGCTAGGAGCTTCCGCGGCACCTGTTTCCGTTGTGGCCAGTCGGGTCACACTGCAAGTGGGCACGGCCCTCACGGACCCGCGCCAGTGGTGTAAGCTCGACGAGGAGCATAACCGCACGAAGGCCTTGGCCGTGCCCATTGGGCTGCTTTTTTTTTTAGTCGTCATCAGGCTGGCCCTTAAATATCATTTGAGGGTCTATGGCGTTTGCCTAGAAGCTCTTTAGAGCATCATGAAGTCAATCTCTTCCGTAAAATTTTGTTGTGAATATTTTCCCTAAGGGGAATATACCATGGAGGGTCTTAGGGCGTTTGCCTGGAAGCTCTCTATAAGCTCTATGAAGTTGTTCTCCTTGAATATAATTGATCTTATGCATTTTGTTGTGATGGTGAGGAGAAGCTTTCATCATGTGTCTCTTGGTCGCTCTTGAGTTTCCACCCCAAGCTATATGAAGGTTTTTAGAGGGAGGCAAGAACTTAATATTTTTGACAATAATAGGAGGAACCAAAGGGCAAACAACCTTGCCATGAGCTGACTAAAAAAAAAAAAGGCAAGGAGAGAGAGAGAGAGAGAGAGAGAGAGAGAGAGAGAGAGAGAGAGAGAGAGAGAGAGAGAGAGAGAGAGAGAGGGAGAGATGTCAGAAGAACTAGGCAAGAATGATGCATTGAATGAAACAGTTGGGTACAAGTAGCAAACCCTAGTTGGGGTTGTACCCCATATTGGCTACCCCACTACAGCCTACAAGCATAATGCAGTTTAACACACCCCCATAGGCAAAGTGGGGGAGAACAAAGGGTCACAAGACCAGTCCAGCAAAGCAAAGCAAAGCCCAGGGTGGATCACAACGTCACCACACTCCGAGCACAAGTAAAGGCCACAAGGCCAGTTCACATGCAGTGCTAGATATAGTACAAGACAAGCAACACAGTGATCAAAACCTAGCAAGCAAGCAACAAGATATATATAAAGTACAGTACAAAGAATGTCAAGCAGTGAGCAAGTGAGGAAACGTGGACACAAGGCCTAAAGAAGTACAGTGCCGCTGATGATCACTAGGCGGGAGCGCCTTGGTGAAGATATCAGCAGTGTTGGCCTTCGAGTCCACGTACACAAGCCGAAGCTGACCGCGCTGCTGAAGCTCTCGAGCAAGAAAGTAGCGAAGAGCAATGTGCTTCGTCCTGTGCTCCAGTCTGTGCTCCTGACACAAGGCAAGAGCCGCCTTGTTGTCACCGTACAGAACTGGAGGAGAACTAGGCCGCTCTCCCAAGTCAGTCAGCAGGTAGGTGAGCCAGCGTAACTCCTGTGCAGCCATGGCTGTGGCGTAGATCTCAGCCTCACAACTAGAGCCGAGAACAGAGGAAGAGCGGGTGGACCGCCACGAGACAGAACCTGAGCCAAGGCTGAAGGTGTAACCCTGTGACGACCGCTGCGTAGCCAGGTCGTCCACCCAAGAGGCGTCCGAGTGACCAGTGAGGACAACTCTATCGCGTCCTCCAAGCACTAGCCCCATGCCTGATGTACTGCACAGGTAACGCAGCACCCTCTTAGCAGCCTCCCAGTGCTCTCGCCTGTGTCTCCCAGGCGCAACGTAACGAGCAAGGATGCTAAGAGGGTACGCGAGGTCAGGTCGCGTGCAAGTCATCAGGTACATGAGGCAGCCTACAAGCTCTGGGTACGGGCCACTCGGCTCTACGGACTCGTCCGAAGGTGGAGCTGAGAGCGAGTGGCTGGTAGCCAGAGGTGTGGCCTGTGGTGAGGAGAACTGGAAGCCGAAGCGCTGAAGGACCTGCTGCACCATGTGTGACTGAGTCAGGGTGATGGTGCGGCGAGCTCTGTCCCGGGTGATCTGCAAGCCAAGGTAGCTACGCAGTTCACCCAGGTCAGTGCAGGTGTGTCTCTTCTGCAGCTCCGACTTCACACGAGCGAGTGCCTCAGTGTCAGCAGTAGCAAAGACCAAGTCGTCGACGTACACGAGGATGTAGAACGGCGGCAGCGACGTGTCTGTGCGCAGAAACAGCGACGGGTCAGCAGTAGACGGCGCGAACCCAAGAGCCGCAAGAGTAGTCCTCAGTGTGTCGTGCCACTCACGTGGCGCCTGGCGGAGACCGTAGACTGGCCGGCGGAGACTCCACTGGGTACCAGGGGGAAACGACCCAGTAAAGCCAGGTGGGCGGCGCAGCCAGATCTCCTCGTGCAGGCTGCCCTGCAGGAACGCTGTGCTGAAGTCAAGAGAGTGAAGCTCGTAGTCACGCTGAGCAGCAACGTGCAGCAGAACCCGAAGAGTGGTCATCTTCGGGGTGGGGGAGAAGGTCTGGAAGAAGTCGACCCCCTGACGCTGACTGAAGCCTCTAGCAACGTAACGAGCCTTGAAGACAGGCGGAGAACCTGGCAGCCGCTTCACCCTGAAAATCCACATACCATCGACGATGTTCGCCCTAGGAGGGGGAACCTCGTCGACGTAGGTGCCTGTGGACTTCCAGGATGCCATCTCTGCGTCCATGGCTGTCTGCCACTGAGAGGAGTAGGGACCCGAGATCGCCTCTGCGTAAGTGCGCGGAGTGGGGATGTCTACTGCATCCGGGTCTCCCTCAGGGGCAAGCAACCAGGCCACGAGATGAGGTACAGCAGCCGCAAGTGAGTCAAAGTCCTCCTGCCTGTCCTCAAGGACGTCCGTGCCAAGAGCACACTCACCCCGGACGGACGGAGGACAGACAGACGCAGACTCTGACTCAGCGACAAGGCTAGCAGCGTAGTCTAGACGACAGGCAGCAGCAAAGTCAACCAACTCAGCGACCAGAGCAGACGCAGCTGAGGACTCAAAGGTGGGGTCAGTGACAACAGTAGCAAGGAGACGCGTGACTGTAGGGTGCTCAGCGCGATACCGGTCAGACTCAGGGTCCGGAACGGCAGGCAAAGAGGACGCAGGAGGAGACGGTAGAGGGACACGCCGAGGAGCAGTAGAGGGACGCAGAGTCATGTAGTGAGTGCCTGGGACAGGAGGAGGACGCTCACGACGGACACGACTACCAGTGCGAGCAGGACGAACAGGCGACGCAGGACGAGACTCAGGCTCACGACGCTCTGTAAGACCTCCTGTGGGACCAGTGTAAGGAGAGGGAGCAGGGAGAGGCGAGGTAGGCGGTAACAGTGACTGCGGCTGGACAGGCGGAGGACACTCTACGGAGGGAGGAGGACAAGGAGGAGGAGCCTGCCCAAGAACCTGCTGAAGGAGCGGTACGAAGTACGGTCGCGGCCGCGCAGCGTCTCCAGAAGCAGAAGGGACTCCAGCGGCCGGGTCCTCAGCACCAGTAGGAGCTCCAGCGTCCGGGTCCACAGCACCAGCAGCAGCTCCACCGGCCGGGTCCCCAGCTCCAGCAGCAGCTCCACCAGGTGGGTCCGCAGCACCAGCAGCAGCGCCACCCCCAGAGTCGGGAGCTCCAACTCCGCTAGCACCGCCAGCGCCAGAGTCCCCAGCTCCAGCAGCTCCAGTCGCAGTGCTCCCAGAACAGCCAGTCCCGGCAGCTCCAGTACCCCCAGTACGAGCACCCCCAGGACGAGCAACTCCAGCACCCCCAACTCCAGCCGAGCCACTAGGACGGCGAAAGCGCCGGACGTACCAGTCACGAAGCTGCTGCGGTGTGAGAGACTGCTCAGCACCCCGAACCGGAGCACCCCCAGACACAGTAACCCGAGGCTCCGTAGGCTCAGTAGCAGCACCCCCAGGCTCAGTACCCGCAGGCTCAGTACCCGCAGGCTCAGCACCCCCAGTCGCAGCACCCCCAGGCTCAGCACCCCCAGGCGGCAAACTCTCAGGCACAGTACCCTCAGCTCCAGCACCCGCAGTCCCAGCACTCCCAGGCCTCGCACCCGCAGGCTCAGTACCCCCAGGCGCAGCACCCCCAGGCTCCGTACTCTCAGGCACCGTACCCTCAGCTCCAGCACCCTCAGTCCCAGCACCTGCAGCCCCAGCTCCCCCAGGCCCAGCACCCCCAGGCTCAGCACCCCCAGGCTCAGCACTCCCAGCAGCACCACCCGCAGCAGCACCTGAGTCACCTGTGACCTCGACAGGCTCAGCGACGGGAGGAGGGTCTACCTGAGAGACACCTGAGGGAGCAGGACCCTGAGGGGGAAGGGGGTCTACCGGAGGGGGACCAGGAGCAAGGAAAAGCGGCGGGGGAGGGAGGGGGGCAGTGCGGTAGGGGAAGAGACGGTAAAAAGGGACCGACTCGTCAAAGGTGACATCCTGAGAGGCGAAGACCCGGCGCGAGGTGGGGTGGTAAAACTGCCAGCCAGGCGCGTCAGGGACAAAGCCAAGGAAGACACAGGGAAGCGTGCGGGAGGAGAGCTTGTCCGCAGACGTATCGCGGACAAGGGCACGAGCACCCCACACCCGGAAGCGCGACGCATCGCCAACCTCCCCCGTCCAACGCAGTGTGGGCGAGGTCTCCGGCAAGGAGACACGGGGCCAGAGGTTGAGCTGATGCGCGGCGTACCGGACAGCAAACGGCCACAGAAAATGGGGAGCCGCCGCGTGGACCAAGGAGGTACGAGCGACCTCCATGACCAGGCCAATGCGACGCTCAGCAACCCCATTCTGCTGTGGGGAGTCCGGAAGCGTGAAGGTCTGCTCGATGCCCTCCGCCTGACAGAAGGTCCTCAAGAGATCGGAGGAAAACTCACCACCTCTGTCAGAGTGCAGACGTAGGACAGGAAGATCCGTCCGGAAACGGCGGCGGAGCTGGAGACGAACCGTGCGGATCCAAGGGATCAGAACAGCAGGGACCTCACCCTTGGTGCGCAAGGGGAAGACCGTGGTGTAACGCGAGTAGTCGTCGACAACCAGCAAAAAGTACCGCCCTGACCACGAACGCGGGCTGGGCCCCACACGTCCAGGTGGAGGGTCTCCAGAGGAGCCTCTGTCGGGGGGAACGAGGAGGAGTGAGGAGCGGCACGCTGCCGCCCCTCGACGCAAGGAAGGCAAGGCAGCGCAGGCGAGGCAGGGAGGGGAGGGAGGGACCTGGGAAGACCGGACACAAGGAGGCGACGGTGCATGCCACGAAGGCGTGGCAAGGAGGGGTGACCCAGGCGGTGGTGCCAGAGAAGAGTCTGGTGCGACAGGGAGCGACACTCACAGGCGTGGGCCACCAGACCTGACGTAGACACCTGACCGACAGCAGCTACCTGGGGAGACGCAGTGGTCAGTGTGTAGAGACTCGACCCCGGCCGACGGGTGAACGTAGCCAGGTGACGGCCGGTCCTGGAGCACGTGCAGATCGCCACACGCTGTCCGCCAGGGGTAAAGGTGTCAACCCACTGATCCTGGAGGACAGCGTTGCTCACCAGGTTCGTCGAGAACGAGGGGAGGTGGAAACCCGACAACGAGCCAGACGGAACCGCCGGACAAGGGAGGACAGTGGTGGACTGGGCAAGGACTGGGCCCCCAGAGGGGTCAGCCAAGGAGACTGGGACCGGTGCAGGAAGCGGTGTGAGCTCAGTACTGTCACGAAAGAAGCAACGGGAAGCACCTGAGTCAAGGGTGAAGGTGTGACAGGCCTCAGCCGGTGCGGTACCTGAGAGAGGAGTCTGTGTGGGTGCTGTACCTGAGAGAGCAGACTCGAAACCAGCCGGGACAGCACTGGGGGGAGCAGGTACAGGGGGCACCATACCAGAGAGAGCAGACTCACTAGTACCCAGGGCAGCAGGCTCTATACCTGGGTCAGGCGGCACACACAAGTAACAGTCTCCCTCGGCACTAACAGTCAATGCATACATGGCAGCAATAATAGCATCATAGTCAAGAGCAAAGACATCAACACCAGCCCTCATGAGCTCAGCCCAGCGGGGGCGCTCAACATCCGCACCCATCTCCTCACGCCAAGCGTCGTCAAGGCGGGAGAAGCAGCGGTACGGGGTGTGGAACCTCCCACACGTCTGTCCCTTGCGGTCACCTGTGCGAATGACATAAGAACAGCGGGCACTGGCCCCCGACGTCCCACGCTGAGCAAGCCACTCACGAAGCTGCTGGGTCGTCTGGGGACGCTGCTGCTGCTGGGAGCTCTGGCCCGAGCCAGTGCCTCCACTCCGACCTCCGCCGCCACCACTGCCACCGCTCCGACCGCCACCGCCACCACCGCCACCACCGCCACCGCCGCCACCGCCGCCGCCGCCACTACTGCCACTGCTTCCTCCGCCGCCCCCGTCTCCACCACCGACCCCACTCCCACCAGCGCTCCCGCCACCGCTCCCTCCAGCACCGCCTCCCCCCCCACCTCCCCCACCTCCTCCCCCCCCAGCGCCACCACCACCACTTTTGCCCCCCTTGCCCTTGCCGGTGCGGCGCCTCCCACCAGGAGTAGAAGCAGCGCCAACAGACTCAGCACCAAGGAAGTCAACAGCAGCAGCAGCAGCGTAGGAGGGAGCGAGGGGAGAGGGAGAACACCCCTCAAAGATGGGGGTGCGAGGAGCGCCACGAGCAGCACCGACAGCTACAATGCTCTTTTCGGCCGCGAGCAGGTGCTCCTCTAGGAGGGCGACTGTGAGCTCAGTGGGACAGCGAGCAAGGAAGTGGTCTCGAACTGAGCGGAGGGTGTCAGGGAGACGGGTGACTATGAAGTGGAGTGTCCAGTACAGTGGAGGGGGGTTCTTAGCGCAGAACTCGGTGGGAAGAGCGGCACGCAGGCGAGCATCACTAGTGCGAAGGTGGGTGATAAGATCGGCGACTGTAGTAAAGGTGGACAGATCGGGGAACAGGTACGGCAGCATGAGGCGGCTAAGCTCGGCTGTGGCAGGCGAGGAGTAGCGAGCGACGACAGCGTCGTACAGGGCCTTAGCGGATTTGCAGTCGCCAAAATGCTCTAGCTCAGCTAACGGCAGGTGACTGCGAATGGCTAGGCGAGCAGCTGCGTCACGAGTCTGCCAGTGGGAACGAACACTAAGCTCAGCTGTGGCAGGAGGGGCAGGCGCAGCACCAGACGCGTAATCATAGAGCGACACATGCTCCTTGCTATCGCTCAGGAGGAACAGCTGCAGGTCATCTAGCCAAGCGGTGAACCGCACAGGGCGGCCCTCAGCATCGAACGACAGTACGCGGATGGAAGCCATAGCGACAGTGTGACAGAGTAACGCAAGCTGCCGCAGCAGGGGAAGGCGACTGTGCACGGATAGAGAGCAGCGGGCGAGGCTGGCGCTACGGGCAGGCGGCGCTGCAAGCGGTCAGCGCGACGGGAGGGCGACGCTGCGAGCGGGCAGCTCGGCGGACGGGCCGGGAAGCGGGCAGCGCGGCGGGCAGGCGGCGCTGCGAGTGGGCAGCACGGCGGGCGGGCGACGCTGCGAGGCGGGCGGGCCGCGAAGCGGGCAGCGGGCGGGCGGGCGGGCTGCGAAGCGGGCAGCGGGGCGAGCGGGCTGCGATGCGGGCGGGCCGCGAAGTGGGCAGCTAGCGGGCGGGCGGGCTGCGAAGTGGGCGGGCCGCGAAGCGGGCAGCGGGGCGAGCGGGCTGCGAGGCGGGCGGGCCGCGAAGCGGGCAGCGAGCGGGCGGGCGGGCTGCGAAGTGGGCGGGCCGCGAAGCGGGCAGCGAGCGAGCGGGCTGCGAAGCGGGCGGGCCGCGAAGCGGGCAGCGAGCGGGCGGGCGGGCTGCGTAGCGAGCGGGCCGCGAAGCGGGCAGCGAGCGGGCGGGCGGGCTGCGTAGCGAGCGGGCCGCGAAGCGGGCAGCGAGCGGGCGGGCGGGCTGCGAGCGGGCGGCTCGGCGAGGGGCGCGCGAGGGCGCTAGTGAGGGGCGCGCGAGGGCGCTAGCAAGGGGCGCGCGAGGGCGCTAACGAAGGGGCGCGCGAGGGCGCTAACGAAGGGGCGCGCGAGGGCGCTAACGAGGGTGCGCGCGAGGGCGCTAACGAGGGGCGCGCGAGGGCGCTAACGAAGGGGCGCGCGAGGGCGCTAACGAGGGGCGCGCGAGGGCGCTAACGAGGGCGCTACGAGGCTAGGGCACGGGGTAGCGTGGTAACCGCATGCGAGCGGTGGTGGGCCCTAAAAAAAAACGGTCGGTAGGTCCTAGGGACCTCCTGCTCTGAATACCATGTCAGAAGAACTAGGCAAGAATGATGCATTGAATGAAACAGTTGGGTACAAGTAGCAAACCCTAGTTGGGGTTGTACCCCATATTGGCTACCCCACTACAGCCTACAAGCATAATGCAGTTTAACAGAGAGAGAGAGAGAGAGAGAGAGAGAGAGAGAGAGAGAGAGAGAGAGAGAGAGAGAGAGAGAGAGAGAGAGAGAGAGAGAGAGAGAGAGAACAACAGAGAGAGACATCATGTGCAGGCATTCCGATGCATGCCTGGGCAGCAAGATGACCTATTTGAATAAGCAGTGACGGATAGGACAGTTTCCATCATACGAGGGCGGTTGCGATCTGCATTAGCTTGGTGGCGTACATGATGTACGAGTAATCTTGCCTTATCAATAATCGAACGAGGCTACTGGATGTCGTGGAAGCAAGGACCGCCACAACCATTTCGATGTTCCAATCATGCCAGAATCCATACTCACATTGATTTTACACGATCAGCCATCATGGACCTTCTTCAACTGGAGCAGCACGACAAATATCGCCACATCCTAGATTTACGCAAAGTTAATAGCGAGCTTTGCATTTCGAAGTTCAAGTACGAAGGCCTCTCTCGCGTGGCGGAACTAGCACATCTGGATGATTGGATGTTTTCAATTGATCTCAAGTTGGGCTACCACTACGTTGACATCCACGCTACCTGTTGAAATTTCTAGGCTTTCAGTTTGAGGGGCGCTCGTACTGTTTAAGATCACTTCCGTTCGAACTAGCGAGGGCGCCTTTCGTCTTTACGCAATTGATCAAACAGTTGGCACGTCGATGGCAAGAAAAAGGGGTCCACGTCATCCCATATGTGGATGACATCCTTTTTCTATGTCACACAGAAGCTGAGGCTCGGGACGTCTGCACCCGCATGGTCACCGACCTAAGAGAAGCGGGTCTCGTAATCAACGCAAAAAAGTCTCATCTCGATACCCAACAGGGACATTTTTTTGTCGGCAACAAGCCACGTAGTGTTCTGCAATCAACAATTGCATCATTAATGGAAGTACGACGCGCACAGCACAAAGTCCCTATACGACACGTCGCACGTATCACATGCATGCTTGCCTCCACAACCCTTGCACTTGGGGCGACAGCGCGAGCATTCAGTCATGCATTACTACAAACCATCAATGACGCCTCGTCATGGAACAGCAGGATGTCGCTGTCACCGAGTGCTTGCGAAGAGTTGGGGTTCTGGTCAATTGAGTTCGACCACTTCAATGGTGCTCCATTTCACGTTCGAGGGAGCTATGACGCAATCATCCATGTCGATGCCAACGCGCACAGTTGAGGGGGCACACTCGACACATTATCCACGGGCATTCACAAGGCCTGTTCGAACATGCCCCCGGAATTACTTTGCAAATCAAGTACTCGTCGTGAGTTATTGGGGGTGCTTTGGGCACTTTCAAACTTTCACCGGCTTCATCCAGAACAGGCATGTGCTTGTGCGTGTCGACAACCAGGGTGTATTCTTCATCCTAAAAAAGGGTGGATCACGCAACAGCTCCCTCACTGCTACTTGCAAAGACATCATCCACATATGCATGACTCATCGCATTCGCTTGATCATGGAATGGATCGCTCGCGGATGAGCTCTCAAAGACTCTCGACAGAGACGACTACACCCTGAATGCACCATGGTTTAATCTTCTCGAGCGGTGTTAGGGGCCGCACTCTATAGATCCCTTTGCCAGTGCTGCAAATGTCAAGCTCCCCCGATTCTGCTGCAAACACCCACATCCTAAGGCGACAGCGATCAACTCCTTCGCACTATCGTGGGCTGCAGGACATGGTTTTGCTTTTCCACCACCACAACTGATCTCGGCAGTCCTTCACCACGCATAGAGGACATCAGCCTCACTGACACTTATTGTTCCCTTCTTGCTTGGGGCTAGCTGGTGGCCCTTCTTCAACCCTTGCCACCCACCTGGGCCTCACCGATCCGTGATTGCTTGGAACTTACTTATGGAAGCCAATACATTGCACCTGGCACGCACACCACAACATTCTCGAGTTCCGGCCTCCCCCATAGCATGATGATGGCCCTGTGCATATCCTTCCGCTAACAAATTGCTCGCGTCCTGTCTGATTGTTTCAGGGTTACTTCACTCGCTGCGAAGCCAATTGCTCTCAATGATGCTGCGAACTCGTGCAAAATCTACGATCAAGACTTACGAATCATACTGGTAGCAGTTCCGTTCATTCTGCATCAAGGCTAAGTTACCATTCCTCCCTACACTAAATATGACACTCGTGCTATACCTCGTCTACGCCATTCGCCACCAAGCCACCTTCTCAGTGGTGCAACTCACTTGCTCGGCGGTTGGTTTCATCCACCACATGATTGGGGCTGCTTGCCCAACTATCGGCCCAATAACATCTCAAGTCTGAGAATTTGCGAAACGTCACTGCCCTCGTCCACACAGGACCAAAGAACAAGTGTCTCCTCACCAAGTGCACGCCATGGCCGCACACTTCATTAGTTCAGACAACCCGTCCACCTTTCAAAAATGACTCATACCGCTTCTCATGTACGACGGTTTCTTTTGGTACTCGGATCTCGCCTCCATCTGCTGGAATGATATCGAGTTCGAATACGATGTCATGTGGCTACTCACCCCGCACTCGAAGACGGACCAAGCGGGGAAGGGCGTATGGGTGCCTATCGCTGCAAGCCGAGGACCCTTCTGTCCTGTTCGATGCACCAAGCGCTTCATCCAACTGGCAGGATATGGTCCCTCCACACTAGGGCCGTTAATCCGAGTTTTCGGTTCGGCCACGAGAGGCTCACTCACACTCAAATCACCATCGTACACCACCATACGCAACTGGTGCAAGGAAGCTTTTCTCGCCATCAGCCTTGGCGACCACGCTCTTGGTACCCACTCCTTTCGCAAAGGAGCGGCAAATGTAGTGGCAAACACAAGAATCAAATATCGGCTCTTCAAACAACTCGGCCGATGGCGTAGTGAAGCAGCCAAGGAAATGTATGTCACGCCCAGTGCCGATCGATTGATCGACGCCTCTCGTAACCTCCAACCAACGGCTCATGCGCCATCACCAGCAGAACATTCCAGTGCCGTCAAGCGCCAACGTCTGGCACCCCTGCACATGTCTCATCGTAACCCATTGTAATGAGAACGATGCCAATTGCTACAAGGAGAAGCTTTCTCAATGTGGAAAATTTCTAAGCGTTTATCGCTTTCAAATTTGTTTATTGTGAAAGCGAAGCTAATTGTAATGCAATTTTGTGCATCGTCGAAGCACACTATTTGCCTTCTTCGAAAATATAATGTGGGTTGGGGGTCATTCTTCCCTACCCACGTCTCTCATTTTTACAATCGCTCAAGTTCAGTTTTCTACCGACCGTTCCCAGGCTAGTCATCATTGGAAAGTAGTAGTTCTTGAAACATCTTGTTTGTGTTATTATATCAGTATTACTACTAAGATCTACTGTACTTGAGCGCATTGTAATGAGAACGATGCTCCCATTGTAATGAGAACGATGCCAATTGCTACAAGAATCAAGCCTTTTCAATCTTGTTTTTGCAACTTGTCTAAGCATACGGGTTCAATTCACGTGAGAGGGATCGTTTTTGTTTCATACAAACACCCTAGGAGCAACACTTTATACATCATAAATCTGGCTTCACCCATGTAGATCTTCTGACACCCCTCACTGGGATGCCCTGGGACACAGCGACGACAAAGAAAGTGTTGCCAACATACACGCACATGGGAACTTGAATCAGAGACTTTCCGCCTGTGACATTATGTTGGGAACCCAACCTCTAACCACAAAATAAAAATGGCATTTTTCGTTGGGGTTGAGCGCGCCCATAACCATTTTGTATGCTCTATATTGAGCATGTTTATTTTCCAGTATATCTTAACAAACATTCGTTGATTGTCTCCTTGGACCAAGTCAACGGACCATCAACGACCGCCGTCCGTCGTTGCATGACCTACAAGTAGAGAAATACCCGAATTTGGATTGA